AATTTTTTAAATTTAATGGGGGGGGGGGGGGGGGGGGGGGGGGGGGGTGGTGAGACAGAGGGATTAATCCCCCATCGGTCTGGTAATTTCCCCATCGGTCTTGTCAAGCCCCATCCCCACCCATCAGCCAAAGGTCGTCGGGCAGTAGGACCAAAAAAAAAAAAAAAAAAAAAAATAGGCCTAGTTTCCCATCCCAGCCATTTCTGGCCATCTAGAAATCCCAATTTTTTTTTTTTTTAAATCTTGTTTTGGAAAGAGGGAACACCCCCCTCCTATATCCCCTCAGTCGGACATCTTAGGGCCGCCCCCCCCCCCTAAAATTATATCCTATCTGCCACTGGCTGGAACACTGAGTTACCTTAAGCTCTGTAAAGAAGACTATCAAATTTTATTTGACAAAAAAATATAACATGCCTCAGTATGGTCATGGTGGTAACATCACATCATGCCCATATATAGGCATACATCAGGCGTGCATGGTGATGACTTGCAAAGTTTTCCTTTCCAATGCCAGTCTTCCAGCTTTGTAGCCAGTTGCAATAGGTCTTAAGAATGTTCAGACTATAAAAAAAAAACTGGTGTATGCCCATATATAGTCATGATGATCCTATATATGGTCATAATTTGGTGTTTTTCCTGATCATATTTAGGCATGTAACGTGTTTTTGCCAAATGAAATGTGATAGCCTGGACAAGGCTTTATTTCAGTGTCTGTAGACAGGCACTTAAACTATCTCTTGGGTAGGGGTAGTCTATTGGTCTGTTCCCCTGAACTTTTACTTCCGGTGCTATTTTGGGGTAATGGTAGATGTGGAAAGAGTCCAGTCAAAAATTGGCGAAGCCGGTGGATTTGTGTTTTTCTCAATAAAATAGTAATGTCTACATTTGAAAAAGAAGTTTTTATGCGTGGGAGGCTCTATGATACACATTCTGTAGGGGAAATATGAATATGTTGATAATGAGAAAAGTAATTTCTTGAAGTCATCAGATCCACCAGGCCGGTTGGGCTCAAGAGAAATTCTTGGTAGGGATCAATGTGGCTTAGTCCGCTGGCCCATTGTATGTTGTTCTAAGATATTTTAGAACATTTCTGAAAACTCAATCCTTTATCAATGTTGACAACATGTCTTCATCAAGCTGTTTGTTGTAGTTAGATTTATATAGCACTTTATGCCAAAACGGTCTCAAGGTGTGGAATAGCTCTTACTTCTCCCCAGCCAGTTTCTACTTGCAACGATAACAATAAAAAAACTACAAAGCAATTGTTCATATAGAAAATAAAAGAAATAAGAGAAGTTTTTACACTAGGGCGATTCGATAATGATTTTGACAAATCAATTCAAATGACGTCATAATCATGAAAAAAACTATAAAATCGTAATAAAAATAAAGAATTTTTTTTCTGAAATTTCCATTTTTTCATGGTGGTGGGTGCGCTAATTGGCGAAAAATAAAATTTTATTTTTATTCAAAATGACTATTGGCGGGTGGTGGGTTCGCTAAATAAGGTACAATAAAAGACTCGTCTGAAGTGTTGTGGGCTTAAATCTCCTTTCACCACTTTTGATAACCTTAATTTGATTAATTTATTAGGCCAAGTAAAAAAAAAAATAGTTTCTCGTCCTAATGTTTGAAAAAACAAGAATAAGGGCAGCTCCAAGATGGGAAACAGATACTACTTTCTCACTTTTACCAAGTAGACACATTGAAAGCAAATAAAAGAAAAACTAGACATGATTCATACTACTGTATATGTATCCCCAACCACGATCAAGAGAGGAATTTAACTGATGCGAGTTAGCCAGATTTTTGTAAAATAAAGAAAATTAAAGCACGAGGGGACGAGAAACTAGTATTTTTTTTTATTTGGCCTAAACTTAATTTGATTAATTTATTATTAAGAAATCAATTAAAAAAACAAGTCTGCAAGATTATTATTTATTGTTTATTTTACAAGAATTCAACCGAATTATGCAAATGTCTGTCAATATCATCTCATGCACTTCCTGTTTTGAGAGATTTTATTTCATTAAATTGAATTACTGTAATTAATTTTAATTAACTAAATACATATCTCCTCCATACCAGTAATTTAATGGACATAAAAAAAAAAACTATATATAGGATGAATATAATTGTGACGGTGGGGAAAGGGCTGTCTTCATATATGGACTGTGATTGGTCCAATTCTACCTGTAGTAATACATAAACCTATTTTCAACCCTTCTCTGAAAATCTTTGGTAAAACACTATGGAGTATTGATGACTCACTTACAATGAAAGAGAGTACAAAAGAAATTCCTTCTAGAACATATTTTGGTTTATGCCAACATTGACAAATATAAATCTTCAAGTTAAGTAAAAATCGTATTTTCAAATCCTAGCTCAGCCATCTGGAAAAGTGTGGGAATCATAGTCAATAATCCTAAACAAATTTTTGAACACTAAATATACAGTACATCAAACAAAAAACGAATTAAATACATGAGTATTTTATGAATATAATGCTTGTTAAACAATTATAGAAAACTCAATTGAGGGATTAGATGAAATTGTAATCCTAGAAGATATATAGCATAGATGTTAGTTTCTCACGAGCCTTTTTATCGCAAATGTATTATATTATTGTTTCACACAGTATTGAATTTCAGATTATCATAAATTAAATGACTGATAGAGGGCAGCAAACCGACATAAAGTTATGAGGCTTGGCATTCCAAAACCACCATCAGTGAAAATGAAAATTGATTTTTTAATATATTCTTAATCTCCACGCTGTAAGCTTTAAAATGATAGATCAATCGACTTACTATTGCCTAAGTTATAGTATTGAGTAATAGTTTTATGGATTCCCTAAGTGCACACAGAAAAAATTATTAGATTATCACTCTTTTTTTTTTTTAAATTGATGAGGGAGGGCATGTTTTTTTTTTTTGGGTACAATAAATTGCTTTTGTTTTTATTGATGAGGGAGGGACTGTTTATATTTGGCCTGTACCCGGGCCTGTAATAGTAAATATTGTATAAAAACTGGTTTAATTCTATAGTTTTTTAAAGAAAATGTATTTGAAGTCACAAAATTGTATTATTATTTTATGCTGTTAAAATAATTGATGCGGCAAAAAAAAAAATTTTTTTTTAATTCCCGCATCAATATTTTCCTGAATTTTTGATGCGGGCGGGAGTGATAATCTAATAAATTTTTCTATTTGCCCTAAAGTATACAATACTGCCAAATTTTTATGCTAATTACTGAGTTTAAGAATTAGTGATAGTAGGCTGGTTTTGGAATGGCAAGTATGTAAATAATCCTGATAAAATTGAATGATTGAAACTACAGTACAACATTTTCTATTCACCATATCCATTATATTAATTTGCTTTGTTTTTTTTTTACCCATTTACACATAAATTTATTTGAATCTCTGGTAAAACAGACGTCTGAATCAGGACATTTAGAAATGTAAAAGTTGTTGCAAGAGAAATCAACACTTGAAATTTTAAAAAAGCATGTGTACAAGCATCACCACAATAAGTAGCTAGCTCAAAAACTTAATAAAACCAGGCACTTAAACTCAACATTAGAGGGTGCACTTTAATTTTCCCCATACACTAGAGGGCGCACATTATCTTAGAAAAAATATAGATAGCCAGCCATACAACTGAGGAAGAATTCATTCATTTGTACAGGAGTTGTTCCAAGGGATTGAATTATTAAATAACAGCTAACTTCAGTCGTAGTGCAAGATTACATCTTATTTATTTACAATATCGAAACAATAAGTAACAATACAATTTTTTATGCCAATAAAAAGAATTGTTTGCTATAAATCCTAAAAATGTTGTTTTAATGAGCATGCATGCAAGCAAGTGAGAAAACTAAATAATTTTAGGTATAAAACAAAAATGTGTTGCTTCCTTTTATCCACTGTATTTGAATAATATTAATCAGCTTAAAAACATTGCTTTTTATGACAATGCAAATTTCAAAACAAGGATAAGAAAACTAACAATGATGACCTATTGTGTTGAGGTCAAATAGTTACAATTATTTATATTGTAGAATAATTATCCTTGAATACTGAACATGATATTAACATGTCCAGATTGTACTCTCATTAAACCCGTCCAATCAGTTCTAGCATCTCACCACCATCAGTTACCTTTTAACCTACAAATTAAAAATTAAATTTGGTTACCATGGCGATGCTTGATGTGGGTTAAACCATTATAAAAAAAAGTAGGGGTGTTCTTTCCCTGGTACCTATAATGCTCTCTGCTCCCATAATCTAGTGTAACTGTTGCTTTAACTTGTTTTGCAATTCATTGACAACCATCTTCTGTTTGTTCATATCTCCCAGATCATTTACACAACTGTAAACAAAGCAAAATGTTAGAATATTATGAATAAAGATGAGTCATGTCAAATAAGACCTGCATTAATTTATTGTAGTGCTAAATTTGTACCATAAATTGTACACAGGGCGGATCCACAGATAGATTGGTGCTTGAGATTTTTGTTTAGAAATGCTTCACCATAGTCGCATGGAATTTAAATAAATTAAGAACTTGTTTTGGAGTACACCGTGCTTCCCCGTAGATTCTCCTCTGGTACATTGCTCTATCTGACTTGCTGCAAAATTACTATTACTTAAACTGAAAAATTTGTTATTTAATAATATTTAGAAGATTCCATTTAAATTACAGTTTATTAGACTTGAAATGAAGTAACTAATAGTAATATTATATAGCACATATTGCAATAAACTTTATCAATTGCTCTGCCTTAAAATTATAATTATACATAAAAAAAATTCAATATGTTAGGCAGAGTGGAATTAGCAGTCTGGTTCCAACATCTCTATACATTTTACATTATTATCCCCGGTCAGTAGATCAAAGACATACGGAACGCATCCTCAGAAGGTACCCCCCCATAAGCATCACATTATTACCCCCGGTCATTCGATCAAGCGCATGGAACACATACTCAACTCCCATGTTGCAGCATTTTGTATCTGAACCTACCAGGTACCCGCTTGTACTCCTAGGTGGGAAAAGGCAACCGTAGGTAAAGTACCTTGGCTAAGGACACCAGCAAAATGCACTGCATGGGATTGAACCTCCGACCTTAAGGTTGAGAAGCAGATCCACAACCACTATGCCAAACTGCAGTGGCAATTGGTATTAGATCATCCTGCTACAGGAGGTACCCACTTTAAGAGACTATGCGAACGTAGTGCCTTTATCAAGGACAAAAGCAAAATCCACTGAAATACAGTTGAGCTTGCCTAGGTCAACTTTTACCTAACACGAATAATTTCTAAGTCGATCTTATTTTACATACCAAATTGTTGTGTTTTCACTTAATTAACCATTTGTAAGTTAAATTTTATCCAAGTCTAACAATTTTTCAATGCGATTTTGGATTTGACTTAAGCAAGTTCAACTGTAGACTCACATGCCCTACTTAAATGTTGAGACCCCGAACCACCATGTCAACTGCACTCCACCTAAATGCAAACTAATCAATGTAGAATTGTTTAGAATGCAATTCATTTTTAAGCTTCCCTTCGATTGGTCCTGAATTGGACTATCACGCTATAAACCAATCTTTTGACTAACTTACCGTAGTGAATTTATGATGTCTCTTGTCTTTCCAAAATATATTTCGTTCAATGTGTTCCTCATTTTGTTCTCCATGTCTTCTACATTTACACCGATATTTGCAATGTGCGAGCTGGCATCAGTAACAGGTCTGTCCGTCTCTACCTGCCTGGTGGCGCTTCCGCCAAGGTTCATTGTCCCTGATTCAGGCTTAGTTGTCTGAAATGTAAAAAAAATAAATTAAATAATGATGTTGAACTTATTATGAATCATGTAAACTACTGTCAGAACTTTATGAACATCAACATTGGTACAGTAATTACCGTACTTATTATATTATTTCTAACAGTAGGAATAGCGCGTCTTTAGGGTTAGATTACTACTTTTTTGGTCGGTATTTGTTTTAAGCGCATATAGGTCTCCAAAACATGCACTCTGTAAGTCCACCATTATTATTATTATTATTATTATTAACATGAAATATGGTGATGTATTTCCAAAAATTCATATGATAAAGTTTAAATTATATTGTAGGAGGTAAAAGTGGGAGCCATAACTTGGGCGTATGGGCATGGTCCGTGACTACCAAGCAGCCGTAAAGAGGTGCTTATAGTAGTTACATGTGCTGAAATGAACCATAATACTGGGGTAACCCCCTACTCTTCCGAAAGATGCAATGGGGGGTAACCTCCTACTCTTCCAAAAGATGCAATGAGTTCTTAAAAGTGCACACGAGCCAGATGTGTACACGGACCTCCATTTTAAATTCTTATCCGAGAAGACTTGGTTCTACCAACCGACCCTGGGTGAGGAGTGGCTGGAACCAGCACCAACGTTGAGGCTGTAGTTAGCAGGGCCGATGCCTTACCACTCAGCCACTGATTAAGTAGTGTTCTATCATATCAATACAACACATTCCATTTGTGTGTACTTCCTCAGTTCCTTAGGGGTCGCAAGTTGAAAAAAGGCCATTTCTGGGAGATATGGTTCAATGAGGTTTCTTAAAACATCTAACTTTTACTTTACTGTGTACAGTGACCCCCATCACCAGCTGACCTTCTGGGAGAAAATTGTTAATACAGTTAGTAAAGTCATTCAAATCTAGTAATAAATATGGGCACCCATGAACATACAGAAATAACACATCACTGACCTGTAACCAAAGCATAACTGTTGAAGTCAACTTGTAGTGAGCACTTCGACCTCCAGCTTTCTCCTAGCAATAAGAAATATAATTAAATAAATACAAATTTGTTTGTGCACACTAAAACTAAGGTACCCTCACAGTTGGCCTTGGTGCCCCTGAAAATGAAGCATGACGACGACCACTACTTGCCTGCCCTTTTGAAGCCTTGGCCTCGGTGCCCTCACGAGACTTATAATAATATAGATCGTTTGAAACGTAAAATAAATCTAAATAAGAACGTTTAAATCTTGAAAGAAAACACGAAAGCCAAAAACGTAGGTCGCCTAAGCTAGCCTAGGCTTAGATAAGGTTGCAGTGACAGAACATGCGAGAATTTCCATGTGTGTTGATACGAACTGTTTTTGCGGTTACCATTGTGTGCGCATGCGTCTTACTCGAGCGGTTATTGCAGTAAACATTGTACCGTAGTTGTAATCATGTGCTTGCTGCGCAGCTAACTTTGGGCGATCTTACGTCATCTCACCTTAAGCGTGTAAAATTAACGTAATTGGTTGACACTTGGCTAATCTAGTTCATGACGGCCAGTTTAGAGCTTCCTCTCCGATGACAACGCACTGAGCAACAACACAACATATCGAACTTCTTGAAATTTGACTGTTTTGTACGATCGCCGACCGCCGCAGTATATTCCAACATTGAATCGATAATTAATAGTTAATACTCTAAACAAAGTCATATTACCATTGACAACAATGGTTTGGCTAGGCCTAGCTTGGATTGGCCTAGCTTGCCTAGCCTGGCTACGATGAATCAAGGCATGCGCGAGAAATAGTACTGAGGCTAAATCAAATTTTGCCTTGGGTGCCCTTTTATACTTGAAATTTTGGCCTTGGTTCCTTTCCATTTGGCCTTGGTGCCTTTCAAAATCATGTCATACAGGAGGCCATTTGGCCTTGCCCATAAAATCCCCAAATTCGAGGCCTGTAGTCCTTATTTCAGAAGACTTTTGTTTTAACATTCGAACCAGCACCTATGTAATGCTTTTAGTTACAGTGGCTTTGCATTAACTACTAGGTCAATCATCTATCTTAAGGTTAAGTACCCCAGTCCAACAGGACCCCCATCGGAAATTCTAGACCCCCAGGACGGCCAAGATGCCCATCATTTAGTTGGGAAACAGTGCTTTGAGAATAAAGATTTTGACAGTGTGTCATTTCCAGGTATGTGTTATTTATAAAAATTGCTCCAACCATTGCGAGGCTGTTTGTTGTCCCCCTGTCAGAGATCTTTGACCCCTCATCGCATTAACTTACATTCACTTCTACAACATGTATGGAGTCCCAGCATCCCTGGATTTTCTTTGATCCGTCTCCAGCCTTCTTGATAAGAATTACACCAGCAAAACCGTGGTCAAGATCCCACAAGTATACTGATGACACACCCCCTTCAAAATACCTGTCAGAGAGGAAATAAGTCCAACATTATATTATTTAGCCAAATGGGGATCACATTCAGCACAGTTTTTGCAAGTGATTCAGGTTGGAATCGAACCACAACCTCCAGATAACTAGCCTGGTGTCATAACCACTAGACTACCAAGCTTGCACTTAGTGACTAGTGTAATTTACACTTGTGTTTAGTGACTAGTGTAATTTACACTTGTGTTTAGTGACTAGTGTAATTTACACTTGTGTTTAGTGACTAGTGTAATTTACACTTGTGTTTAGTGACTAGTGTATTTTACACTTGTGTTTAGTGACTAGTGTAATTTACACTTGTGTTTAGTGACTAGTGTAATTTACACTTGTGTTTAGTGACTAGTGTAATTTACACTTGTGTTTAGTGACTAGTGTAATTTACACTTGTGTTTAGTGACTAGTGTAATTTACACTTGCGCTTAGTGACTATTGTAATTTACACTAGTGACTAAGCGCAAGCTCGGTGGTCTAGTAGTTATGACACCAGACTAATTATCTGGAGGTTGTGGGTTCAATTCCCACCTGAATTTTTTTCGCATGCATTTAGTAATGTACTGAGTATTCAGGACGATAACACATCAGGTAGGGCAAAACATCACTCCTATAACATAATACATAATATGAACATTTGTCTTTCTTTCACAAAGGTAGACCAAAACAACGACATGACAATGAGAAACTTCCAGTTAACTGCAATTCAGAAATATACATTTTCAATTACATCACAAATATTTATTGCATATAAATCATAAATATTCATATTTTAATTATATCTTTTCAGTATTCTATGAAACCAATTCATTTATATTTTTAATGTTTCAATACTGTAAGCTTGTTCTCATGTCTTTTTCATGATGTATAGAATACTCACAATGTCTTTTGCTAATTTACAAGAATATGCTCATGATTAAATAAAACAAAAAGACAGTAACTCCCAAAAGAGACAGAGGCATTTTGAGAATCTCAAAATATCTCAAAATGTCTCCGTCTCTTTTCGGAGTTACTGTCTTTTTGTTTCATTTAAGACTAATTAGTGGATCCTCTGGTTTATGCTCAAGATTATTCATATACTGGATTGGATGATACACACCAGGGATATCCCACAAAAGTCCTGAGACAAATTTCCAGCGGGGTCCTTCTAATGGTGATTTGGGCAGCAAACTGGGAGACAATCCCTACTCTTTTCCGAAGAATGCACTGTGTTCTTTAACATGTACATGGGCCATTTTGCACTCAGGACCAACAGCTTATTTAAATGTCTCACCCAAAAAAATGGTGTGCTTTAGAAACTTGCATTTCAGCCTTCCAGCTAAAACACAAAGACCAAGATATCTCCACAGTTCAGCGCAAACACAGTGGCTACAACCAGTTTAGCCGACTGCGCTAGATGCTTTGCTCAAGTAAAATAATTCTTACATTTCCCTATATTGGTCGAAAGCTACGTTGGCTTCTATCTCCATTTTCCTCAGTCTGTCTGAAGGTACTGCACCATCTTTCAGAGGAGGGTCGTACACATTGCTCCAAGGTGACCTGTAATAGCCATACATAAAATGCAAATGTTTGGTGCTAGGGTATATTAATTTATTTTGTTCATCCATCTATTTTTGTTTACTTTCATTATAACTGAAGTTCATTACACTCATCTGTTATAAAGGATTAAACTAATAGTGAGAAAAAAAGTTACACATGTTTAAATTAAGCTAGAGCGCTTTTTTTTTTTTAAATTTTATTTCAAGCACACCAAAGCTTCAGCATTTTGTGCTATAGAAGTCTAAAATTATTATTTCTCATTTTGCAATCCATCTGGACTATACTTTAAATAATATTATATATAGGTGTGAAAGAAATTCACAAACACGATACAGTACATCAAGATATCGGATTTGTCATCAGCAATATTTGGTTGTCCATGTTGAATCGCACCTAAACCAATGCAACACTTTTCCTGTCACGCTGGAAACCTTTTCACACATAGTCTCAGCTATTGTTTAGTTTTCAACCAATGAGCAGCAAGTCTAGCTACCCAAAACATATAAGTATTACACTCTTTTGGAATTTCTGCAGATAATATTCTCCTGAAGACGATTGAAACAACTCAATCAAAACGTCAAGGTATTCTTGACCAACAACAACAGTTCTTTTCAGAACTATCTACGTGGTGTACCACAAGCACTATATATATTATTACTTCACCATGCAAACCTTCAAACAATATTGTGTTTACATTCTTTTATATTTCAAAGTGTTTCCTTCTAAATTGTTACCTGAAGAGCTTTTAATAAATAAATGTAATTTAGTGACAAGGAAACAAAGATCTCTTTTTAAAAACAAATTGCTGTGTAAACAGTGTTAGTAACTCCGCATACCGGATCAGTAACCGCGATGATCTAAAGAGTTACCTCCACATCGCAGCGGTGTTAACAGAGATCATCGGCATGATATTTATGCAAATTAGCTGTTGTTTGACCTGTGCGAGTCATCATGTAATTTGCTATAATAAACAGTCTGAATACAATTTATGGTTTGCAGAATAGTACTGTAGTTAAAAATTATGTTTTTATCAATTACATACATTTAAAAACTTTTTTGACAAAGGATTTCAAAAGAAGCAGTTATGCGCGCGTTTTTTTCAGGTCAGTTCTAATCACGTTACTTCCTGGTACAAAAAATGATATTTTTTATCGTGTAGACGCTCTACTGGAGATTATCGGTGTTACATATCCGATAGCAAACGGCCGTGTAAACATGGCTATTAATACAAAGAACATCAGTTGTAACCACGGTAACTGCAAGGTGAGCCCTTACCTGTAGGAGTCACCATCTCTATTGTAATCACATAATAGGTAGTCTTTTCCCACTTCCTTGTCACGGGCAATTTTTAAGGGCTGATCCACCGATGATAAGAGGTCTTCACATAAATGAGGAACCTGGGAAAATTTGGGGTAAAAAATATGATACATCCATTTAAAACATTGCATTGCTCTAGTAAAAGTTAACCTACTGTATTCCAAAGGAATACAGAGCAAAAACAATAATAACACTATGGATGTTCTTCTAACATTCCATAGTGCATTGAGATAGTAAGACTACAGTTAAGTTTAGGGTCAAGCCAGCTAAACCAATCAACACCTCGGATTTACATAAACAGTAAGAACCATATCCACGGCCAAAAGTAATTACTACAAACATTTGTATTTCATTTGTATTTATGCAAAAATATATACTTTAAATATTATTTTATGTGTAATGTAATGTACATAGCAAAAAATATCAATGAACATAAATTTCTTTACTATGTACAGCAGACACAAATTAATTATATATGTCTATTGCTTATTTTCTTTGCTCTGCTAGTATAAGTATTATTGAAAGCTAATAAAAACAAAATGAAAGTAAAGGCAGTGTTTACACAGTACTGTCATGACGATTAATGAGGGCACACTCCTACCCTAACCTTGGCAAATACTTTGTATATAGATCCATTCAGAATTTTATACTAATATTTCAACAAATCTATTAGTCTGTTTGGGTATTTCAATCACTAAAGGCTTTTATGTATTATTGATAGATACTTGTGATAATTTTTTCTATTATTGTATCTGTTCCTAGTACTATATATTACATATTATGATTTTGGTGGAACAATGGGAAAACTAATAAGGTATCCAAAGACACATCTGGGGTGGGCGCAGACGGTACGATCACACCCCCTACCCCTAAATTGTATTAAGAAAAATAATTATTGTATTGCATTGCGGATATATTATTTATATTATTTCATTCCATTTTATTTTATTTCACACAACGAAAAAATACAATATAAAATTCTTCAGAAAGGTAAATAATTAAGAAGGGCAATGTAAACAAATTAAGTAATATTAACAAATTATTAAATTACTGTAAATGATAGTAAGTGAAGATATAGTAATTAATAAAGTAATAATAATTGTTATTACCGTATATACCAAATAAATTTGGTAGTACAATTTCCAGGTACCTATACTGTATTCTCAAAATGTTCACACCTCAGCGCCAACCATGGTGGGGCTGAGGTTGTGTGGACTCTAACGCACCAGCAGAGTAAGGGGAAGTATAAGGTGCAGGAAAAGCCACTTGGCCCAGACTTTATCCTTGCTATCTTAATGCAATTAAGAGGCTCAATTTGCAGGTTTCCTTAAAATCTACAAAAAAAGCTCTCGGTGATAGCGTGTAGAGACTGTATGAAAACCAAGCTTTATAAAGTGGAGCTTATTATTATTTATATCATTAAAAAAATACTGTTGCTGGCATAGTTTGAATCCATTCCCCTGGTAGAATTTTTAAGGCAAGTATTTTAAGCAGCACCAAGATATAGCTTCACCAGTACAACCCAACATACAAGTAAAAAAAAACCATCTTCTTACCAAGTCAATAAGGTCGCTTAGGTTTTTCTCGATCTGTTGTGGTGGAAGACGACGCATCAAATCCAATGCACAATCTAACTGTTGATCACTAGAATATGTAGACTGGAAAGAAATAATAAACATCATATTTAACCATTCTTTCTAGGCCTACTGTACATATCTATTTTTAGACAATACTACAAGATACTTGCAAATTGACAACTAAAAATGCCAACATAACTGCAATTAAAACTTGCGTTTAAATTTAAAATGATACTTCAGGTTTTCATAAGCAGGATACTTGGTTAATTCAGAGCTAATCAAACAACCACACCAACAGCAATAAATAAAACTGATGTATACTGTACATTTACATAATATTAATAAATAACATTAACAAAAAAAAATAAGAAAAGTTACATATAATAGATAGGCCTAGGCCTACTAGGGAACTACTGAGTCTACTCTGAGCCCTACCTAGCTAACCTAGGTTGGGCCTACCACTAGTTCTAGGCTAGGCTAGGTAGGATAGTCCTCCTAGCCTAGGCTAGGCCTAGTAGGAGGAGGCGGCCTGGGCCAGGGCTAGCCTAGCCTACACAAAAACACAAAACATAATGAGATAAAACTATCAGATATGGCAAGATGTAATTTCCCGTTGTTATTAATTAATCCGTGATATAATAAGTGATATAAATAATGGATGCAATCTTTTAAATAACGGGAAAATATTATTAAACTGCAACGTTTTTTGACAAAAGTTACGTTTAATTCGTTAACAACAACCCGGAAGCAGGGATCCCTCACGGAAACCAAGCAATAACCCAGCAGGCAAGCAGTGCAAGATACTCCACAAACAGTGAAACAGAGCGAGAGGGAGGCCTGGCTCGGACAAGTTTCAATTTGAGCCTCAACTCAAACAGCATATCTGAAAGAAAGACGTATCCTATCACAACATGTGTGCACCTTAAAACCCGTGCGGAAGATTTTCTTACCATTTTCTCTAACTTTAACGTATCCACTAGATGTAAAAATAAGTAATTGGATCAACTTATAACTTCCCAAGCCTAGGCCACTTTCTTCACGCCCAAGATCGCCGACTTTCGGAATCGAGAGGTTAAAGTTCGTGTATACATCCGGGGAGCTTTCACTGAATACCCATATATGGATCGAGGTTTCGCACTTTTTCGGCCCTGCCCATTCATCCATGCAAACCGCGGTACAATAAAATAAGTAATATAATAACAATTGGATTTAAATAAGTAAATCCATCAGCCTAAACATAATGTTTCCTGTTTTTTGTATTAAGATTTAATATTACAACAGCTTGAATCCGATAGACCGTGTTACTTTCTGATTATGATACCCTACCTACACTTTTTTTTTTGTTATAGAACCTGTACAATTTTGCCCAGGCTCATGTGTGTACTATAGGAACTTGCCAAGTAGTAATAGCAGACTCTCCTTTTCAGTGTGACCACTGTTTGTGATTTATCCCAAGGTTTGGGGATTTTAATGACACATTGGGATCTTGGGATTTTTTGTTAACTTTTCATTAAATTTTGGGATTTTTGGAATGATATGGAATTTTTTCATTTTTTTTTTCCTTTCAGGAAGTGAACAAATTAGGCTGCTAATGGCCTTATAATACCATAGTTGACCGTTGAATGAGAGCTGTTTATTTGTTCAAAATAAAAAGAAAGCCATTTTCATCATTTTCAAAAAATAATAAGGTGCATTTTTAAGTTAAATCTCTTGATATGAGTCCCTTTGGCTCATAAGTACGCTGTTTGCAGTACGTATATAGGTTGGATTTATTGCACCTAGATGCCAGGAAATCTTGCACTGTCTCATACATTGTAAATGCTTTTCATTGTGTTTTAATTTGACAATTATAAGTTCAATAAAATTCATCAAAAATACTTTAGGCCTACTCTTCTTATCAGCTTACACAAAAAAGAAGTTAAAAATCAACGCCTTTTTCCTATTAAAGAATGAGTTATGCTACTGGAATATTTTCTGTGTATAATATTTAATGAAATAAAGGCAATTACCCCGTCATTTTATGTTCATAATTTTATTTTAATTCATATAAGACATTGCTGCCACCATCCCTATCTTTTCCACCACCAATTTCAGAGAATTCTACACAGTTGAACCAAAACGAACGAGTTATTGGTCTCAAAAATCCAGACACTGTTTTCGTGCTGCTCTATCTATATCCCTAGCTAGATTACAGTCAGTATAATAAAATAAAAGGCTTTAAAATTGGACTTTTAAAAGAAATTGTATGTATGTGTACTAATATTTTTTAAGCAATCTTGGGATTTTTTAGACTCAATCTTGGGAATTTTTATTTTTACCAGTGGTCACGCTACTCCTCTTTCCACTCAGCTGGAAGCTCCAACGTTTGAGAGCTATACGCGGCGCGTTTGATTGGGAAGTTAAAACATTTTAGATACTGCATTAGCGTTTTCAGTTTTTGGAATAAATCAAAGAAAGCACTGGACACAATAATCAATAATTGTCGCCTCTAAAACCTTTGTTAAGTGGCTGGCCGTGAAATAGGATCAATTTTTGACCATTGGTCAATAGGCGAAACACTCTGAAAATAAAGTACAAGTTCGATCACTTGTTGCAGTGGCGTATCTAGAGGGGTGCGTGGGGGAAGGGGAGCACGCCCCCAAAAAATTAAATTATTTATTTATTTTTATTTTTATTTTTCAATCTGTAATTTCTTTTGAACACACTGACCTTCCATGCAAGTATTTGGAGTCGGACCCACTGATAAAAAAGTTTAGTACACGAAATTGGACGGATTTACTGGGTAACATTGCGTAGATAGGTAAAAATAAATACACACCAAATATCTTTGATACACAGCGCCCCCTATAACAGGCAAGATAGATGTTCTATTTTCTCTATGATGGTTATAGCAGGGAGATATAAATAAAAAATAATTACAGCTGTACATACAGTAATTTTATATAGTGTACCATCGTATCATATCATATATCATATCATATCATATTATATCATATCATATTATATCATATCATATATCATTTCATATCATATCATTTATCACATCATATCATATGATCATGTCATTATCATAATATCACATCGTATCATATTATTTATCACATCATACCATATCATATCATATCATATTATATCATGTCATATCATTTATCACATCGTATCATATCAGCATGTCATATATCATATCATATCACATCGTACCATATCATTATTCACATCATACCATATCATATCGTATCGTATGGTAAAGTAATTAAAAAACAGTTTATGTAAAAGGAAAAATTAAAACTGTCTAATAAAAAGAAAGAGGTGTGTCTCAAACATAAGCGGATATCCTATTTATGTAATATATTTCGTAGTAAACAATGTAAAAGGACAATAAACAAATAGTGCATGTTAAGGAGTCTGGGAAAGTTAGCTGAAATTAATGTCAAAGGGGAGAATATAAACAATTGGATGGATCAGGAGAACAGGAATCAGGACAAAACGGCAATAACCAAAATGGCAATAAGTCAAAGTAGATACAGGCCTATATGTTAACAGCATGTGTGAATGTTAAGTCAAAGGAAGGGATCTTGTTATACACCGTTGAAAAGATTTAAATGTATAATTTATATTTCAATTGACTATACATTCTAGAAGTCAATATTATTATTATTAATTTTTTATTATAATTATTATTATTAGGCCTATTATTAATGTTATTATTATCATTATTAGTATTATTATTATCATTATTATCATTATCATTATTATTATTATTGTTATTATTGTTATTATTTATTATTATTATTATTATTATTATTATTATTATTATTATTATTATTATTATTATTATTGTAAATATTATTTGAAGGTTTGCATGGCGAAGTAATAATAAGCCCATTAATGCTTGCGGTACACCACGTAGATAGTTCTGAAAAGAACTGTTGTTGGTTGAGAAAGTCTCGACGTTTCGATTGAGTAGCTTCAATCGTCTTCAGGAGAATAATATCTGCAGAAATCCCCAAAACAGTAAATACTTACTAGTATATGTTTTGGTCGGTGAGACTTGTTTTTAACCAATCACCAGCAAGTCTGCTTTGGAACTTCTGCAGATATTATTCCCCTGAAAACGATTGAAGCAGCTTAATAGAACCGTCGAGATATATATTCTCAACAAACAACAACAGTTCTTATGTAAGTGGTGTACCACAAGCATTAATATATATATATATATATATATATATATATATACTGTCTCTTATGTTATTATTATTATTATTATTATTATTATTATTATTAGCTGTTCAAGCTCTGTCATAATAATATTTGCATGATATGATATGATCATATAATAAGATGCATAGTTTGATCAGGGTTGGGGTTTGCTGGTCAGTAGGACCTTGGTGGAGTGACGTCCTACCACGAGGTGCATAGTTTGCTTAGTTTTGAGGTATACGGGTAATTTGAAACTTTGGGGAGATTTATGAAATAATAGAGGTATAAATATCTCCAACCAAAGTTATTGTGACTGCATTTTCTGTAAACAAAACCATTTAATATCACCCCCGTTTTTACTCTCACGCGTGGTGTTAGTCCGGACCCTAACTGGAGGTAGGCAGTTCATTGATTCTAGCTACATGATCCTGTTATCGGATTTGCTGAACAGCTTGTCAACAAAGTTCTAGAGCCACTCTGCCCACCCTCATACACCTCTCCCCCCTAAAAAAATATTGTTTATTTTCCTCTCTTTAGGCACACATATGTCAAATGATTGTCAATAGCGAATATATCAGCCCTACTTGTAAGTGACTATCCCTTTACAAGACGAACACATGATGCTCTACACAAAATATATCTAAATATAAAGCTTAGGGAGTGGAGTTGTTCAGGTCGTGAAAACAAAAATCCTGCAACAATGACAGGAATTGAACCCAGGACATTGGGATAGGAAGGAAAGCATCTTAACCACCAAACTATTCAACTCCACTCCAATATAGCCCGTAATAATCCTATCTCTAAAATTAGTAACTTTATAATTATCTCAAATGTACGGTAATCAATTTAACTGATGAGTTCCTGGGGTTTGGTTTATGTTTTTTATATTGTAGTTCCCAATAAAAAATTTAAAAAATTACACAACTGCATATATATTTTTGAATCTTTGTTTGTTTTTTTTTTGTTTTTTTTTTTGGTCAATGTTGCTGGCCCAAAATACTCTGGTATCAAAACTTCATGTGAATTGTTGGTGGCGCTCTACATATCAATACAAAGAAAACATCTCGCACCACAAGTCGATTGTGTTGAAAAAATGTGATAGATACTGCGAGGCCCAATGTTGATTGCTGTTTTTGGATTTATTGACACTGGGAATTAGATTAAATTTACGTGAAAGGGTAAAAAGTGTAAGTTTAAAATTACTTTGAATTAATTTACATCCTAGTCTCCAACATGATATATTGTGCTGTGTAGTTTGATTCAGTTCTTCCCGAAAAAATGTTAATTCCGTTTTGTTGTCATGCTGTTGTCTTCGGAGCCAGGCACCAACTAAGGTGTTGTCTATGGTTCGCTCATCCCCTCACTGGTTCCCACACACCTGCTGGTGGTGTTACGCGCTAGGCCTAGGATACCAGTGGCCTGCTGCGATATTGCGATGGATTAATGGTATTAATTTCACCCTTTACCTTTCTTTAAATTCATAATACATTTGGCACAGGTATTTTTTGTTATGTAAAGACAGTTTAAAATGGGTAAGGCCAGTGGCACTGGTGGTATTTGTGTTGTTTAAAAAAAATTGTTGTGGGCTAGCTAGGCTAGGGTTAATTAATAAGCCTTTTTATAGTAGGCGATTCTATAGTCTAGGGCCTAGGCCAAGCTAGAAAACCTGCCAAATTGTTTAGGCCTAGACCCTAGCCTACTAGGCAGACCAGAGGCCTAGTCTGCTCTAGGATAGTCTAGGCCAATGCCATACTGTAAAGTTTTTTGATTGCATGGATGTCACCTCAAAACCCAGCTCAAATATGCTGTAGGAAAATATTGTAACTGCTGCATTACAGTGTTTTATACATTAAGATTAGGTCAAAGCCTAATTTTTGGCAAAATCTGCGTGGAAATCATTCCTTATTTTTAGGAATGTGCAGATGGATTTTTAAGCCAAATTTTTGCGTGGAGGGTATATTGCCGCACAGGCTGCCTTACTATACAGTCTGGGGCCTATGGATAAAATAACTTAATTCAGTTTTCTGTTCTTTTCCTCAAATAAAATAAATTGTTCATGAGATACCATGCCCCCATTCCCCCCTCCCCCCAACCATCCCAAAAACTACACCAAAAAAAGAAGAGCTTGTGTCGTTTCTCCACCGGAAATTGTTGGTGCCATTAAATTAGCTTACTGTGAAGTAGATAAAATTCACCTTGTGTCATTTTAGTTTGCCTTCTAGTGCCCCTCACCTAATCTTCAAGCATTTCACCTTTGCCCCTCCCCATTAAAATGATTCATAAATATTCTTTAAGGTGCAGATCCATGCAGAACAATTACTGAATTAGAATAATATCGAGGTGTGTCGGTACATGTGGTTACAGGTTCTGTGCTGGCTTGATTGCCTGGAGACCGAAGAACCATAAAAGTCTCATTGTAGCTTTATAAATAAAATATAAATTAATGATTGAAACAGGATGTTGAAAGAGATTATTGTAGTCATTAATTACCAGAGGCATCTAATTATGTGTGCGAAGAGGATTTCATCAAACAAGTACAACAATATAGTGTTTTAAAGCCTTTTTCCACTAGTCAAATTTATTTGCGCGAATTGAAAGCATCAGTTTGCTTCCTAAGCTCTGATTAGTTTCACCTTTTTTTCTTCGCAAAAAAGGATGCTGAAGCGAAAAACTCTGATAGAAATGTAAATCTGCATGCGCATGAACGGATGCTTTCGATTCGCCCAAATAAATTTTCTAGCCGAAAACAGACCTTAAGATCCAAACTGAAATTTGTACGGTATTTGAAGACGTGCACTTCAAATTTCTGATCGGTTGGGTTGGCCTTCTCATCTGAAAATGCGGATTCGGTGTGAGCAGGCTTCAAATGCTAAATCAATAGAAATCTAGTCAAAGTCTCATATTGGTGAATTAAGCTAGGAAAACATACAGACTTGCATAATTAGTACCTCTAATTAAACTTTTTGAAACAAATGTCTGCCTTGTTATTATTGGAATTCCAGCCCTACACTCACCAATGACTGATAGCAACTGAGCCATGCTGTAAGACCAGTGCGATAATTGTTATTCGTATTTGATCCATTTATTTCATAATTTCCCCAATATTTCTCAAATTCGGGTTAAACTGATTACATAAGTGCGAGATTATTCAACTACGCAGCTTGGATTACGGTCACAGTCAGGGAAACTCTACGAACCGACAGAATTATATGAAAATGATTAATTTCCGAACGAGAATGGAAGTCGTAATGCATACAGATCGTGCCCCTAGGCGTTCTTAGAATCCTACAATTAAATTTTCTGTATGTGATGTGTGCCATTTAAGACAAACACAAGGACGTTCTGCTATCATCATTACTACAAAATCCATGCCAAATTGTTGAGGCATTATGTAAGGTCATAATTAGCGAATTCTGATATCATTATGCTTTTCTGCAAAACAGCAAATAATAAGATAATAATAATGCTCAATGCCTATTGGATTAACGGTTTGAGGAAAAAGACAATAAGTAGGCCTATTCTCAAAATAAAATTATTACAATCATCATTTCATTGTCTGTTCTATGGGAGGGAGGGTACCGTGAATGCTCGAATAAGTGCTGCACCAATCCTGATTTATTCGCTAAGCGCTGCTCTCGAATATGTGCCACAGCGCTTTAATCGTGAGATACATATTACCCTGTGTGTAATGAAATACTTTGAGAAGCAGGGTTTTATATACAATGTATACAGTGTCAAAATAAATAAATACAGTAACACAAGGAAGACACTAAGCATTTCTTTAACGTTTATTTACGATGACGTAGGACCTATGATAGGCCTATTGAACTATGGGAATATGTGAGATAGGTAACATGGGAACAGGCATTGAAAGTGCCATAGCAATATTTTTTTATAAGCACCACTCTTGAATAATTACAGCACTGAAGCCTCAAAAAATGTTATAAGCGCTGTGGCACTTAATCGAACATTTACACTACGGTATCTTGAAAATACTGTCTTGAAAAGGCTGTATGTATATAATCATGCATATACTAGATACCTTTACCATCTTTTTTACATAATTTTTCAAGGAAAAAGGAAGAATCACAGAAAAAAGAAAGTTTTATACTCTTTTAGAAACATTGGTGTATCTAGGAGTCTTAAAATGGGGGGTTGTGGTGGGGGGGTGGGGTGAAAAGTGAAGAGGACCTCAATAATTAAGGTCAGATGCGCTAACCTGCAAAATAAGGAGATATGAGGTGATTTTTAACTACTGTACATAAGCATAATTTTTATATCTTGAAACGTTTTCAATGGGGGGGGGGAGGGTGGTGGGGATGGGCGACTGGAGGAACCACTGCTTGAAAATGATGAAAAAATGGATGACCCCTCCATACTAATACACTCTCTGTCTCCAAAGTTATTTGAGATTTCTGGTGCTGAAAAATATATTGCTACTGTCTATCATATTATCCTGTATAATTAGAAAAAAGTATGTCAACGAATAAATGACCCCGTCAGCAATCTAGTTTGTGACAAACCAGGTTAAATGCCTAGGTACTGTACATCATCTTGATTGAATTAACAGTATCTTCTGATGTTACTTTTAATGTTTGTGTTGTTACAAAAGTATTTTTGCTTATTATAACTATAAATTTGTAAAATTATTTGCAATATTTTTTGTTTTGAAAATTAGGATTGTTTTAAAAATTAAAAATTTGGAATATCTAAATGAATTTAAATTTGAAAATAATTTTTAGAAGTTTAATAATTGGACTTGTAGCTTCTTAATGTAATTTACCAATTATTTTTTTTTTAACCATGATTTTAAATTGGGGTGTTATGTTAGTTTTACTGTCCAAAACTACTGATGAAAACTGAATGCTACTTAAAATTATACATCTTCATGATATTACTTATTAGATATTTCCCTTGATAATGATATCATTTTTTTTCTGTACTGTAATTGTTATGGTTTATTATTATTGAATATTTTTTTTTATCTTCAGCAAGTTGTGATTGACATTTCTAGTTGTTTTGATTTCTTGTCTGTAAACGACCCTCTTTCTAATACTAATGATCTAGTTTACTGATTGTAAATGCTAACGTTTAGAAATAGAATGAGTTTTTTGTGTGATGCACGTCTGATCATCTTCGAATTTACAACCTGTTCGTTCTCATGTCGCTAAAGAACCATAATAATTTTCCCTACAGTCAACTACGTCAATATTGTCACTGGCTTGTTGTGGGCTAATGGTACAGTTTTACTTAAGGTTGCGAATCCTGATTAAGTAGGATAGGACTTAAATGGGGTTAAAGCACAGATACTGCGATGTGATTATCATTATAGACTGTCGTCTGTCAATTCAAACACTTAAACCTATTTAAAAGTAAGAAATTTTATGAGATTTGGTGAATGGAATTATTAGATTTCAGAATAGATGGATAAACTTTGACTTTTTTTTATTGAATTTAATAGAATATATAGCCTTGCAATTGGTATTTTAATTTAAGGTTGGGATATTGCTAAGCCCTGCAAACATTGCAAACCCCACAAACCTTGACCTACATTATGTAAACCATTTGATAATGATTATATAGTGTATAGAAACCAAATGATTAAATTGAAAACAACAAATATTTATGTAGGATTAATCCATTTTTGGAGTTCCCACTTCCAGAGCAGTAAAAAGTTTTTTTTTTTTTTTTTTTTTTTAAGGTGGAAGGGGGATGCGGCCTGCAAACCCCTGCAGACCTCCACATAAGCCATCCAAACCACTTAATAATAATTATATAATACTTTAGAACATGTATACAAAAATAATAAAGTTGTATAAACAAAAAACATTCAAATAGTTATATTATTAATCCATTTTTTTGGGTAAAAAGTTGGTTTTTTTTTCTGAAAAACCCCTGCAAACTTCAACATACTGTACAGTAAGTCATCACCATAGAACATACCAAAATAATAACATTTTATACACAAACAAATATTTATGTAGTAAAAATTTGTTGTTTTTTTTTATACATAAGATTCGTTGGTTTTTCTATTTTTAAATAAATAAAATCATTTGACATTTTACCTCAGCCTCAATTTGTTCTTATTTTGTCATTATTTTCTAAGCAATTTCATTCTCAGTGTTCTTGTAAAATGTGTATCATCGACTATAAGTTTGTAATCTGAAACTTGTAACATAAAAATCTTTCAGTAACTAAAAAACTGGAAAATTATATTCATTTTCAATGTTTCCATGATACTAACATTAATAAACAAACCTGGTCTGTATTCCTATTATATCTGTGCATTTACAGAAAATTCTCGCATTAAATTTTGTTACTTTAATCTTGTAGTTTGTAGGCCACATAAAACAATTGTTAGTTTCATGTCGAGTATTTGAAATTTTTTTTTTGGTGAGGGTATTTACTGTTCTAACTACTGTATCCAAAAATAGTGCCATTATGTTTCCACCGCTTCGTAGATTTTGACAGCAATCTTTCAGATCATTATTGTTTTTATTTTCCATGGAAAAATGATTGTTTGTTTTTTTTAAATAACAAATAGTTTTTTTTCATGAGTCTCCAAAATTTAATGAGACCCGTGACATGAAGCTACAGTAGCTAATAATTTTATTATTTGGCCTTGTAGTTCTGAGTGCTGCCTGATGTAATACATAAGGAACATGTACTAAATAAATTATATGATCCATTTGATTAATTGCTCTTTCTTGACATGACTCATCTAATCGAAGCTTTCTATACTTTAGTGTGTTTTCTTTATTAAGATACTGTTGAACCACGAGTTAATAAATAATGGTATGATCTATAGTTTATAAGTAGGACTCTTTCGAGTCTGTGTAATGGGGACTTGATTTGAATAGGCCCAGTGATCTGTGCTGGAAAGTCTAGCGCTACAGTATACACTCCTGCAGTAGGCTACTGTACATTACAGTATACTGCCATCAAAGACATTCTTCTGTGTGCTGACTGCCTTTTCTAGAATTAGTTACTATATTTATTAACTGAAGTTCCCAAACTGGTCACGAGTGTTGTCGATTACCCCGTCACATGGTGTTTTCATTGTGTATATTGTTGATTCCCTTTTTTATTGTGAATACAACATCTTTTATATGACTCAATAGAAAACTAGTATACTAAGGTCAGACACAGAGTGTAGTACTTAATATTCTTTTGTGAACCAGACTTGTGTTTACATTTTGTTTTTGTCAGAACATTCTGACTATACAGTATGGACCATTTCCAACTCGGGTATAATCATTAATGGCACTGTCATTTATTATACTACATAAATTGCTTTTGTAATGAAAGTGTATTGCATAATTGTTACTTAAAGCATTTTGTTTTTATATTGAAAAGCTACGGTAGTCAGTTGGATCTTTCACTAAAATCCTTATTTCAGAACCTGACGACTTATTCAAATTGTAGTTTTCATTTTTTAACTTTCAAATGAAAAATTCCTTATTTTCTTACAAACAGAATTCAGAACTGCGGTTTTGTTGATTGGCAATGTCATCCTTCTGTATATAAAATGATTCAGAGAGAAGCTACGTAACGCCGAACATAAACATCACACATACTGTACCGTACCCGAAGATGGATGGAGAAGTAAATACAGGAGATTCCGTCTACGCAATCCCAGAAACCGTGTGGAAGAAAAACAGGGAACTAAAAGAACTAGAACCTAACCTGCATAGGAATGGGATAAACCAATCAGATAAGAATGGAGAGGCGGAAACTGATGAAAATGATGAAGCACTATATCTTGTCATTGAGGATGGAACCAATTCTCTGCCAATCAAGGTATAAACAAGTTTTTTTTTTTTTGTTTGTTTTTTTTCATTTTGTTTTACACTTTGAAGATTTTGTTTTTTACCCCACACTAACATTACATTAAATTTGTTTCATTTAAATCACTTTTGAAACGAAATGCCGATTTTTCTGGAATAGTCATGCAGTACATTGCATTTTTAAAAAATTGAGGAACTTCTTTAAAGACTTATGCTAGTGAGTCTGGAGTAAATGGAACCCACGATTTCCCACATTGGGAGGTGTCATAGTGATCAGTCTACAGAGCTTGGCACTAGCCATTTGAATGAGGTTCCTCTAAGCTGATGAATAGTTGCTGCAGTAAAATTTATGCAATTTCAATATTTATTACCCTGTAGTTACTTTGTATAATCCCCCCACCCCCTGCCCTCTCGAACTCAAAATCGGGCTATGTTTGGAGGGTGGGCATATACTTCCTCTTTTTGATCAAAAGGCAATTTTTCAGCACTGTATGCCTAATTCAAAGCCTATATTTGATTTTGTTTTTATTTTTTACTGTATTTGTAAAAGTCAGCTTAAAGCTACTCATTGAAATTAGGGACTGGTACAAAAAATGTTGTGTCAGTAAAGTAGTGAGTAGACTTGAACAAAAACCGAGCAGTATATTTCAGAATAGAAATGCTATCAAATGCACAAAAATATAGTGTTAAGCATGTTTTAATAATTGTAAAGAAAATACAGTATATCGACTAAACAAAAGGGACATTCTAATTTTCAAAACATCGAACAAAGTTTTAGCTATGCTTTTCAATTTTACCTCACATAATCGTCAAACTTCTACAGAAATAAGAAAAAATTTATTTTATTACCAGTCATTTCATTTTAAACTAAGAATATAAAATGTATTATTAAATTGGCCACGGTCGTCGTGCATGAATGAACATACCAAATGTTGCTGACTACGAACTGTACAGCTGATAGTCTACCTGTCTATGGCCTGATCAACTGATGGCTTACTATTTACTTTTACCAATTAGCATGATTTTAATAACCAAATGCTTTTTGCCATAACAATTGATGAGTTAAATTCTGTAGGGCATCGTTATTGATGTTTAAATTGTGCTTTTACTGCATGTCTATATAAATTACATTTTTAAAAATATATATATTGCTGGTTTTTTTGTTCTACAAAATTCCAGTTGTTAAAGTAAATATTATATTGGTTATCATAGTTTTATTTATTTATTTTTTTTAAATCACTACTCTATTGGAAGAAATTAACACATCAATTAATATTTAGATATATAGTAAATCAACTGGAGCAACGATGAATTCTATAGTACTGTAGTACAATAAAAATATGAGCTAAAGTATTATATCTCTTTTACTATATTTTTTCACTACAATCACCTTGTTAGAGTTTCATTAATTTTATCTTTTTTTTTTTTTTAATATCTCTTTCAGTCTTTTTTTGTGTCTCAATCAAATCTTTTCTGCAATATTGCATAAAACACTGACCTTGATTTAAACCTAGTGATCATAGCAATTAATGTTAATTTTCTTTGTATAAATAAATGTCATTCTTATGAATATTCAATGGTCTGTTTCTAGCATGTATTTTGGGAGTTAGTTAAATTGTTCTGAGGTTTTTTCCGTATTTACTACCAAAAACTATAATTACCTCCACCAAGGAAGCTATGCATTCTGTCTGTCTGTCTGTCTGTCTGTCTGTCTTTCTGTTAGCAAGCTTATGCAAAATCTAAGGAGAATATATTGATCATAGAATTTATTTCAATTCAATCAATTTTTTATCCTCGACCATTAAAAAGAAAATAATGGAATCGTCAATCATACACATGTAGTCCGGTATTCAGGTACTGGGCTGACTATACAGTCTATAGTAAAACTGTTCTTGTGTAGTTGTAGTAACTTTTAATTACAGATTTTAGGAAAATTAAAATTCTTTTTTTAGTAGTACAGTATGAATGCAGTAAGGCATCTAATGAGAAAAATTATCTAATAAACTACTTTCTCGATGTCTCACACGTCATCATAAGGCAGTAGTGCTACAGTAGTATGCTACTACCGGTTTATATACTGTAGGCCTACTGTACTACCAGTCAAATGTTTGTACAAAGAGCCAAATACTAAAGGTATGTTATGCTGTACAGCTGCATTTATTTATTTATTATTTATCAAGCTTCATCACTGCACTTAAAAAAAAACAGTAAAAAGAAAACAAGACATAAAAAGCAGCGAAAATGATAAATAAAGTGGACAACATTAAAATTAATTAATTAGGATAAAAAAATAGAAGCAAATCTTGTCTCAATTTGACCCCAACAAGACAAAAAGTAAAAAAAACTAATAACAAAAAATGCATATCAAGTATATATATATATATATATATATATATGACAGGTTAAGGGAAGGACAAAGTAAAAAAATTGCAGTTTTATCATCATTGGGAGATAGTTTTATATTCAGAATAAAAGAAAGTAAAAAAAAAAAATTTACAGCTCTACAGAAGATGGAAAAAGCAAATCTTCAGATTGTATGTATCATAATTTTTAACCAATAAACACGACCTATCTCTGTGTGTATTTGATAAGATGACATGAATAAGATGACATGAATTCCTCAATAATTTTGTCCTCCAGTGAAATACCATACAAATTTTTTAATGTTTTAGATTCTGTATTGGAAAGTTTTTTTTTTTTGTTGCATTTAATGCATATTTTTGAATATTGAAATAGAAATTCTTGTTCATCCTCTATAATTATAATTTTCCATCAAGAAATTGAGCCAAGTAAAATTATTTTCAGGACGATACTTTTTATACCTTGTTTTTCGAACTTATTTTTTCGAAGATCGACGCTTATTCAAAAGCGGCGCACAAGAGTGGCACATGCCCATTCCCATGTTACCTGTCTCACATATTCCCGTAGTTCAGTACGCCTGTCATAGGTACCTGATCAGGTAACCAATGTGGACAGCGCTGGGTAAAGTTCTGTCCAACTTATCAAATTTTCTTTGACCAAAAAAAAGCTGGTGTACCCATATTTAGTCATGGTGTGCCCATATATGGTCATGATGTGATGTCATCATGATTATTAGGCATGTCATGTAAAATAAAATGTTATAGTCTGGAGAGAACTTAAGAAATATCCAATGTGGACAGCCTGGGTAAGACTTCCTTTGGTCAACTCACTAATGCCATGTGAATTCTGCCCAGAAAAAAACAACCAGGCTGATGTCAAATGTAAACTATGCAGAGTTTGCTGTATTGTTCGAAAGTTTAAACTTGGACTCGTATATTTTTTTGATTTCATGCTATACTGTAGTAATTTAATATATTTCCAATTAGTACGTTTATAGTATACAGTTATTTGATATTTTTCCAATTACTGTAGATCATTATTAATTATACAGTAGTTTCGATGCCTTTGAACTGCCAAACTGAAGTAGGAGAAGTCAATACAAATTACCCAAGTTAATTAGTTACTGTATACTTGTATTAGAAATTGAGGTTGGCAGCAAAAATGTGATAAGAAACTAAATTATTTTCTCATGTGGCCTTAAATATTATCCCCCTTAAATCCCTATAGAGGTAGTAATAAATTGAGTTTTGAATAAAAATTTCCTTGATTTTTTTTTTTTTACATTTTAATTGACAGGTCTATGTAAGTGTATTGATTTTGGTCTGATTTTCTATTTTAATCACTCTACAAAAGTTGTGAATTCAATGAAATTAATATATTCCAGAGTATACTATAAATCAAATCTATTCTTAGATCAAAGCATTACATTTAAACTTGACCTCAAAGTATAAAATGAATCTTGATAAATTCAACCTTCATGATTTTTTGAATTATGTTAATTTTTCTCTATCCAACTAATGTAGCGCTACTGTATGATGTACTGTACACTAGAATTGTAATAAACCTGTTGAATAGCATGTTAATGACAATTGAGGTATTGGCTGCCAGTCATAAGACCGTTGGCTTCAGTGCGTTTATTGTGCTTGTTAATTGATCTGTGTGGGTTGATTACTGTATGTGCAACAATGGCCTTTATACAAAAATATGATTTCTACTATAGCACACCACACATTGGTTCTACTGTATGAAATAAAAAGTTCACACTACAACTCAGCTATCAGGTATCCCTCCAATACACAAGTCTTCTTTTTTTTTAATGAAATCCGACTGTTCAATATTTACCTTTTGATATTATATTGTATTGTGTGAAGAAATAAATGTTTATTTGAATTGAATTGAATAGAAGACCACCTCCAATTTAAAGACCACTTTTCTGTGGTCCCAAATTAACAGATGTCTTTTATCTTTATTATTCAAATTAGAGACCAAAGCTGCTAAAGACCATGAAAACCTTGGTCCCAAAAGCGGTCTTTAGTTGGAGATAAACCTTTACTACCATAAATTAATAATGGTTGTTTTGATTATAAGCTGTGAATATTATAGGCCTTCTGTCGTCTGCTGTCTAGTATATTAACTAATCCATTCATTCATATTGGCAGATACGTAATCCTGATAATCGACTTGGCTGCTAAATGTGTTTATTCGTGCTATTAACTGCAGTTTCATCGGCAAATACTTAAAACCATTTTCTATTATTCAACAGCGCGAAAACACCCAGGATATATTTAGGCTTTGGTTAATGTTGCTTGAATACATGTCCCATTTTTTAATTAATTGACCGTAAATCAAAACAATAATATTCCTTGTTAAAAATCAACATGAAAATTTGTATTTTGCACCAGGGGACATGTGGGAACCACACGTACAGTAGCATCTGCTGCATCATTGTATGGGCACAGGGAGGCAATCCCCTTCTCTTTTTAATAGTGTTCTGCTATTTACAGTATGCAATGTTATTATGTTTTATGGGTGTAGACTGGGAGAGGGGCTGGTGGATGCATGTCATGGCAGCAAACTAGTTCCACTATAAAAGCGGGGCGAAAAATACTAAAAATGCCCATTAATTTCATTGGAATGATTTAGTTTCACATT